ACAACCTCAGCTGGAGCAACAACACCACCAGCCTGATCAAGAAAGCTCATCAGAGACTCTACTTCCGCAGGCGGCTGAGGCGAGCTGGTCTGGGAAGCTCAGTCCTCACCTCCTTCTACAGGTGTGCAGTGGAGAGCATCCTGTGCTCCAGCATCAATGTGTGGCATGGAGGCTGCACAGCTGCAGAAAGAAAAGCTTTGCAGAGAGTGGTGAAGGCTGCACAGAAATCTGTCGGAATCAGCCTCCCCACCATCACAGACATTTACACCTCCAGATGCAGGAAGAGGGCCGCCTGCATCATGAAGGACCCCACTCACCCAGCACACACTATTTTTGCCCCACTCCCCTCAGGAAGGAGGTTGAGGAGCATTAAGTGTAGAACCACTAGACTGAGGAACAGCTTCTACCCTGAGGCTGTTAGACTCATGAATCTCTAACCAGAATAATCACTGTGAAAAATCACATCATGTTGCTGCTGATCTGTTTCATGTTGCTGCTGATCTGTTTCAATGTTGATGTGTTCATGCGTGCACATCTGCTCACAGATTCATGTTCATGTTTGTGCTGATGTTCAATGTTTTATGTTATGAGTGCTTAGTGTATATTTAGTTGATGTTTTTCTTAGTTCATATCTTAGATGTTATTACTGTTTTTCTTATACATTTTATTGGTGGATGTAACTGGGACCCTGTGTACATAATTTCGCTCCACCACATGTACCACATGAGGTGCGAATGACAAAGAAACTCTGACTCTGATAAAGGACTGGCCTGTCTCTCACTCCCTGAGCGCTAAATGAATGAGACAACAACAGATCAGAAACTGCTGCTGTGTGAAAATTATAAGTCAGATTTTGAGAAATGAATTGAGAACACCAGAATTAAGATGTGAATGTTTCTACAGGGTTTTATATAGGACACATGACAAAGTACCATCACTTCCAGTTTTGAGGAAAAAATATTTAAAGGTAAAATATAACTCAGTCTGTGTGATCAGATTCTCTCAAATTCTGGGGGAGTTTGAAAGTAAACTATAAATCTCTTCACAGTGAGAGAAAGACAGAAATGTCTACGTTTGGATTCTAATTTGCATACGGAGTAAGAGTTTGTGTGCAAAATAAGTGAACATTTTACACAATTCAAAACTTGTTGTGACATCAGCTGTTCAAACCTGCAAATACCATAAACCTAAACTGTGATTGTGTAAAACACCAGTTCAGACATTTAAAGTCCATCTTTCTGTGACCTGTTTAAACTTTGAATGATAGTTTAACGTGAAAAACGGCTGAGCTGACGAGCAGATAAAAATAAATAAATAAAGGGGATTAATGGGATTTTGTTGGAACAGGTGAGGAAACTTTTTTTTTTTACCCCGTGCAAAACGTGTCCGCTACCAAACATCATCAAACAATATGTCTGATAAAGCCACATTTTGTTCAATAATTTACATTTCATTTCAAGGCTGAGTGAGGAGAAAAAGGACAAAAATTATTTAAAATGTGCTTCATTGCTTATAAATGACTATTTTGACACATATCTATAAGAGTTTTAATAATATTAAACTGCAATAATCAAATGTTTGTGACTCAATTTGATGTTTTTGAGTTACCTGAGCACTCCATTTGACATCTTTTCCACAATGTCCTTGAGAACATCTGAAAACGGCTGTTAAAGGGGAACAAAAACCTGAACGAGGGGGGCGTGCATGTTACAGATTACACACTCGAGTCCAGGATACGAAGGTACCGTCCCTGTTGGGCCGAGGAAGTCATCCACACTTCAGGGTTGAGGAAAGACACGGAGGCTGATTTTAAATACAATAATCTGCAATCTGGAGGATCCAGCTGCAGACAAAAACAAAACCATGTCGAGCCTTGGGATTTGATTTTAAAACCTGGGTTCACGTCTGATTCATGTGAATAATCTATGGGAGTACGATCAAACTGGAAGCTGAGCATGAGCTCGTCTGTTTGATGATGACACTGCTCACCTGCAGGTCTTGGTGGGATGTGATCCAGTGTCCACCCACTCCCAGGACACTGATGAGGTCATGCTTGTGTGGTAGGAACTTCTTCTCTCCCTCCTCCTCCTCATCTTCGTAAAGACAAACTTCTCCCACACAGAAAAACAAAAAAAGTCAGGATTGCAGTTTCATAAATGCAACAGATATATTCCAGCTCTTCATTGTCCTTGGGCAGACGACAAAACGTGCTCCTTTAAGGATTAATAGACTTAATTAGAAGATTTTACCTCCAGAATCAATGACTATATCCACTCCCAGCCCCCCTGTCTCCTCCAGAACGACTGATAGCAGATCTGAGGAGTCCTTATGGGCTGGAATAACTCTGACTTCATGCAGAAAAACAAACACGCCATACAGTCAGTTAACATGGCTCCACATACACTCACAACAGATATTAGTGTAAATGCATTTTTAATTTGTACTTCCTCTTGTTAAATAGCTCAGATAAGCTCACAATAGTTGAACTACATGCAGTACACCATATTCTCCACAAGGTGGCAGTAGGTGTTTGTACCAGCATTCTCAAAATATTTCAAATGAAGGTTCAGCTTAATCCAGGGGTCAGAAACCTGCGGCTCTGGAGCCACATGAGGCTCCTCAGCCCTCCTGAAGTGGCTCCTTTACTTTGGACTGTAAAAATATAAAAGGCCATCTATTGAAAAAGACTAGATTTAAAAGCATTAAATATTGATAAATTACTTTAATAAGGAAAAACTGTTTTACCAAACAGTGGTTTAAGCTGCTGTTTAGCTTTTATCATCCTTTTTTATATATATAGCAGCTTAAACTTCTTTTATTCAATGGAGAGATTATGGAAATCATTGAAGAGTGCTTTAATGGACATAAAAACATTATAAAAAATTAGGGGAAAAGGTGAATTATTACACATGGTTATAGGACAATTTGTGCATCTCTTGTGCGAGTTCCAAGCTGAGTAAATGGTGAGGGATGTGTCAGGAGAGGCATCTGACGAAAAACACTTTTGTCAAAACGAATGTTTGAGTTCGTTATAAAGAGGATGCAGTTAGAGAGGACATGGAGGTAGTTGGGAGGACAGGATGCAGAGGACAGAGACAGAGGAGGAAGACATGCTGTGGAGACTCCTGAAGAGAAACCAAAAAAAGAGAAAGAGGGATTTGTTTCTAATAAAAGCCTGCTACATTAAACACTAAGTAAACATTGTTGCCTTTTATTTCAGGACATTTAGCTCTTAAATAAGCAATAGTCTATTTTTTGACAACTTTTTAAGTAATCAGGAAGCAAGTTATTGCTTTATTTATCTCCAAGTGAGCTACTTTAATCTTACTCATGTTCTACAAATATGATAAAAAGTGAAATAGGTCAACATGGGTCTAAAAAAAAGTGCTCTTTTCTTTTACAGAACTGTTGGTTCTTTTCTTTTAGCCAATATGAAGAAATGTTCACAATGCATCATAAAATGTGTGTAAAACACTCCGCTTGCCCTGTTCTTCCACTTGAACGGTCCACTTCACTTCAAACTCTGGTCTTTTACCAGAGGCCTGGGTCCTGAGGGTTCTGTTCAGTATCTTATTTGTTCCTAGGACTGAACTCCTCTGGACACTCTCTGGTTGTTCCTCAGGTTTGTTGGAGCCACTCTTCCAGTTCGGGGGTCACAGCAGTGACCACTGGGACTACTGACTCTCCATAACTTCTGTATTTCCTCTTTCAGCTCTTTGTCTTTCTCCAGCTGCTCCTTCTTCCTAATGATACAGTCAGTGGGATTTCTACATCTACCACCACTGCCTTATTCTCTTGCTTGTCAACCACCACAATGTCCAGTTGGTTAGCCATCACCTGTTTGTTGATCTGGATCTAGAAGTCCCACAGCACCATTCTCCCACTTGGACTGTGGACTTCCAGTCCTGTTCCTGTACATTACTCCAGCCACTTGGTTATGGTGTTCCATGTGTGCTTTGCCTGGGGCATCTCTGCACAGCCTGCATCTTGGATCCTATCTGGTATGGTAGACCTCAGCCTCTATTAAACCAAAAAGGTCTAAAGGTCTTTTTTGGTTTTAAACCAGTTTGACATGACTGTCGTCAAGGAAGAGTGCCGGCATCGGAGGAGGGGGCGTGCCAAAGGCACCATCTTAGCACCAACATAACTGGTTTGTTCCACTTTGGAGTAAGCTGTTGGGGGAAGAATCAGTTTTGTTGTGTGTTTCCTTGACTGATGAAGCCTTCTGGATGGAAGGTGAAATGTTTCAGCAAAAAAAGAAACTGTCCAGATGACCTGACTGAAAACTGTTGGCTCAGCCTCCATTGTTCCTGTGCTGCCATGATTAGTACCTCTGTGCTGTCCTTTAGTCCAGCTGTAATTGTAACAAGAGTACAGAATACGGCATATATACAGCAATCTATACCAACGGCCCGGATGAGCAAAAACCTTTATTATTTTAACTGTTGATTTGTGACCTTGACCTTAGAGCTGACGTGATATAAAGATGATGTGACACAAGTCTAGTGGTTGTACAAATATGTATCAATTTCAATATCAGAGAAACGGTCCAGAGGACCTGACTGAACATTGTTGGATTTTTACTCGGATTACTGAGCATGAACTTTGATGATAAAATGTGTATCAAGTTCTGTTAAATCATCTTGAGTGAATCAGAGCTTATGGATGGGACAACAGAAAGTTTACCGATGGATGGAGACTATACCATAGGAAGTCCATCTTTTGATGGGCATATAAAAATGGCTCTTGAAGTTATAAAGGCTGCAAACCTCTGGTCTAATCTTTGGGGTGAAATAATTATGATTATATATGTAAAATGAATATTAGGCAGCAGAAGGTGACACTCATGTGAAAGGAAAAGGCACAGTAAGATTAGAATTTCTAAGAAACATACACACAAGTCACCAGGAACTGACAGGAAAAGAATCTCTCACCTACTAACGGATCCTGAACACCTGAGGGAAACAAAGTGACAAGGGAAGGAAAGGAAGCAATAAGGAAGCTGAAAGTGGAGCATGAAAAACAGTTCTGAACAAGAAGAAAACTCTTTTTTTTTTTTCCAGAGACCTTGTGGCCACGAGGACCATCCAGATGTTAATGAGTACACACCTACGCTTGGCCGAAGCTGCTCCAGGAACGTGTGCTGTTGTGCAGAGTGGGACGTGGTCAGAACCTTCAGGCCGTGGTAACAAGCCAGCTGGATGCACATGAGGCCAAAGGGCTTCATAACGAGAGGAAATTAAGATTACAGCTTGAATATACACATCCCTAATCCTGAACATGTTGGGAAGTTATTCAAATGTAAATTAAAAATAGAATGCAATGAGCTCCATGTTCTCTCTTGTGAGCTGGCTAACAAAGACTAATGGCTCTCCAGTGGGGGGGGGGGGGGGTGTGAGACTGATCTGAAGGTACATTTAGCTGCATAAACTGAGCTGCTCGTGTAGTTTAAAACTTGGACCTACACACTTTCTTTTATTGAGAAAGCACATGGATGGGAAGCAAAATGTCTTCAACTACAAAATAAAAGTCCTTTTGTTGGTTGTTGGGGGGTTTTAACATTTTGGATTTGCCACTTCCTGGATGACTGGAAATCTAGACCTGCTAATAAACCCACATTTTATTAACAACAGTGTAAACATACTAAGTGTGTACATTGAGAAATGGTACTATTTTAGTAAAAAGTCAGGTTATTCTTATGGCAACAACCACCTAAAAATAAGAATAAAAGTTGGGTCGAGTGCATGTTTCCCCACTATGAAGCATCCCCTCTTCTTCTACCAGCAGTCTGTAAACGTCCAGGACCTGAGGAGACCAGCTCGTCCCACTCTGGTCTTATAGAGGATTCTAGCTGCTCAGCAGTCCTGGTCTTTGCTGGATGTTTTTTTTTTCCATTATGCTTCAGTGTTGGACTCTTCTACTTTAAAGCCATGCTGTTGTGATGGATGTAATCTGTGGTTTAGCATTGTTTTGCTCAAGGTTTTCCCTGAAAAGACATTTTCTTGACGGGAGCAGATGTTCTAAAACCTCTGTTTACTGTTCTGAATCAATTATGCCTTTCCAGATGTGTAAGCTGCCTATATCAGAGGCACTAATGCATCCCCATACCATCAGAGATGCAGATTTTTGAGCTGTGTGCTGATAACAGGCTGGAATGTCCTTCTCTTTAGTAGAGAGGATGTAGCGTTTGTGCTTTCCATTATATTTTTACACTTCCATTTGTCTCTCCGCAGAACAGTTTCCCACTTTTTCTAAGTTACAGCTCCTTCTTTGCCTGACTGAACTTTAAGCAGTACCGTATTTTCCATCCTATAAGTCGCACCGGAGTATAAGTCGCATATGTCCAAAAATGTCTAATAATTTTGAAAAATCCATAAATACATCGCTTTGCTGTAATTGTTGCATCTATTATGCGTCACCGCTGATGCATCGTGTTTGTTACACGTCACCGGTGACAACACAGAAATGTGGGCTGGTGTGCCAAAAATCGATTGGCTGCCAAATGGTGGCCGCGGTAGCGTACACGGGAGGACTTTAACAAGAATTTAACAAGATTAACACTTAAAAACAATTATTTGTTTGCTCGACATTATAGTAAAGGTGTGTCTCAGTTTAACTTTCCCTTAATAAATGCACTTTGAAGATCAAATCAGCTGCATTTCAAAAGTCGATTGAGAGAGATGACTCGCTGTGCATTTCTTCGAAATTTAACAAGTTAACCACCTAAAAACAATTATTTGTTTGCTCGACATTATAGTAAAAGTGTGTCTCAGTGGAACTTTTACTTAATAAATGCACTTCCATTGTCAAATTAGCTGCATTTCACCAGGGTGGTGCAGCAAAATGAAGCTGATTTGACAGTTGCTCCAAGCAGCGAGCAGAATGAAGGTGGCAGTCTATGGCAAGCCGATTGTGTCATTAATAGCCACTTTTACCTATTACATGTCACAAAGGCATGCCATACTACTCGAGTGCCATCTAGCGACTGAAAATGGTAGTGGTCAATATTTTCAATGTTAGAATGAATGAAAATGGTCATATCTCAGCCAAAATTTGGTTTATAAAAACGGGAAAAAAATTCCATAAATACATCGCTTTGCTGTAATTGTTGCATCTATTATGCGTCACCGCTGGGAATGCAAATTAGGCAAAAAAGTGCAACTTATAGGCCAAAAAATATGGTGTTTGTGGACGGCAGGGTGGACTGTGTTTACAGACCATGATCTGTGGAAGTGTTCCAGAGCCAGACCTGGTTACAACCACAGAGGAGAAGTATCTATTTAAGCCCAGCTCTCCTGCCAACCAGGGCCGCTGTGATTAGTCGGAGCAGCTCAACACTTTGTACGAGTGCCTTGTCATAATAAAATGTTCGGCCTTGGCTTAGCTTGATTCTGCCGGGTCCAGTTGAAAAGTCTGTGGCCAAGAGTTTGTTTTTTATGTCTGTCTTTGAGTGTCCATTGTTGGACAGATTGTGAAAGTTTCTGAAGGCAGGCATTGAAGTCTTGCTTGTGAAAAACATTGTTTTAAGTTTGGAGTGATTTTGGTTTAAGGATAAAAGCTTTGCTTTTTGATAATTTGTTTAAAAGGGTTGTAGCATTTGTTTTTCTTCCTCCTTTAGTTTATTAGTTAAATACAATTTAACATAGTTGTCTGACTTTTATTTTGTTGGAAGGTAACTTTTGTTAAAAGTTAACTTTGTAAGCCATAATCGATGGTAATTGATATTTTAAAGTACCCTCCTTTTGTTCATTTTTGTTTATTAAATCTTAACTGAGTGAATAATAAATCACTTTTCATTTTCTAAAATATTTCCATCTGGGTTTTTTGTTGCCTTGTTTTTTCTGGCTGAGCCAGGTCGTAACACGGATCAATATTCTAAAATGGTGTCATTAGTAGAGGACTTTCACAAACTAGTGAACATCTGCCCATCTTTACATCCGAGAGACTCAGCCTTACTAAAAGGCTCTTTTTATACTCGGTCCTCTTACTGACCCGTTTCAAATTAAACTCGTTAACTGTAAAATGCTCCAGCCATTTCTTTTTCGGCAGCTTTTTGTTGCTGTTGTCTCAACTTAATGTGCTGCCGACATAACATTTCTAAATTATCTTGTTAAATTTCTTAAGTTTCAACAACTGATAGGTTTAATATGCTCATCTGTGAATAAAATATGGGTTTATGAGATTTGCAAAGCATGTCGTTCTGTTTTTATTTACATTTCACGTGAAGTCCCAACCTTTTCCGAACTGGGGTTGTGAACTGACGTGCTCGGACTTCATGGCTACAACAGAAAACAAAGTGATGTTTTTTTTACATACGCTGGCTCCATCCATGACCAGGAGTGTGTGTCCAGCCGCCATACGAGCGTGTGTGTGCAGAGCGGTGTAAGCGCAGAGGCCGTCATGCAGCGCTCCTGCCACACACACCGAGCTGAGCTTCTCTGGCTTCTGAACTGAAGACAACAAACAAAAGTTTATACATGGATTTATTATCAAAACTATGCATCTTGTACCAAATACAATTCCAGGCCTGACAATCCTTGAAGGTGGCACGTCGCTCTCTTTCATTTCAGACTTTATGTTAGGATGACAGCTGACACCAAGCTTTGAAGATGTCACATGATCAGTTTGGAGCTGATGTATGGTCACTGTCGTGTTGGTTAAAGTCACTTAGTCGTGGCAGTGACACACACAACATCAGAACTTTGACATCAGAAAACATCACGGCCTATGTCTTTGGTAGACTTCCTTTCTCCCCTTTTCTTCACACATTTTAAAGGATTTCCACCGAAAAAGTGCTCACCTGCTTTCCACAGCAGAAGCTAGGTCAGACTGAAAGTGCTTGAGGCAGTTTCTGCACTTTACACAATAATTAGGATGAAGTGTAGATGGAAAATGAACGACCCGTCACATAAAACCAAACGTTCATGCTGACGTTTATGTGATGCTGTCAGAAACGATTTTAAATTTTGGGTCTGAGAGACATTTAGGTCTGAACTAAACAGATTGTTTTTCCCACTTTTTAATGGAAACTGAAAAAACTGCATTCCAAACAGTTTTGGTAAATAATATTCAGAGATACAGCTGCTGAAATAATGTCCCCGTCACTGAGGGATGTGCAAAGGCAGAGCGTTCCATAACTTAGGGCCACTAACAGAGAAAGCCCCGTCTCCTCGAAGCTTCCTCTTACTCTTGGGAATGAGCAGAAGCAGCTGGTCAGCAGGTCTGAGTGACCGAGGTACAGTGTAGAGTGGTGAAGCTCTATTAAATAAGGGGGGCAAGGTGTTTAAAACAAAAAATTTACTCTAAAATACATGGGCAGCCAGTGGAGAGAAGCCAGGACAGGGGTGATGTACTCTCTTTTACTTGTTCCTGTTAAAAGACGTGCAGAGATGTGCAAGTGAGGACTGGCTGACTCCGAGATAGAGAATTACAATAATCCAGCCGTGATGAAATGAAGGCATGGATTACTGTTTCAAACTGTTACCTTGAAAGAATAGATTTTACCTTTGCCAATTTTCTTAAATGATATGCGATAGAAAGTAAAATGTATTCTTCACTAAGCAAACTTTTATAGGCACATTGGTAAATGAAGGGTTCACTGGAAGCTCAGGCTGATAAGAGTTTCTTCATCACGAATCTCCTGTACTCCTTAAAAGTACTGACTGACCTTAGGTATCTCATATCCTTCATCCTCCCTGTTCATTAAAATGATGATGACTTGGCTGTTTTCCTGAGTTAAACCTTAGATCTCAGGCTGCATCTTATGTGAAGAAAACCTCCTGTTGAAACCTGTTTTATTAGAACCCCTGTATTAGAAAATGTGTGTGTGTAACTGAAAGGTCTATAAAAGGTCAGTTAATACTTTGTTCGGGGCTTCACTTTTGCACTGCAGTCCGAGGGAGCCTTCAGACGTTTGTTTGAGCCTCCAAAATAAAGACACTTGCAAGGTCAGATCTGATCTCTTCATTTAGTTTCAGCAAACTTACATCTCACTGTTTGTTAAAGTTTCCTCGACAGATAAAAAACAGACTTGACTGTGGCCCTTATTTGACTGTCGAGTTTAAAATCACTGTCCATCTTAAAACCAAGATTTGTAACTGTAGACTTTAGGTACATCGTCAGGGGGTCTAAATCAACTGGAGGGCTCAAACAAGCTCCACTAGGTCCAAAAACAAGCGCCTGTCTTTTTTTTTTTTTCATTAAAATGCAGGAAGTTTAGGGCCATCCAAGCTATAAGATCCTTGAGACACGATAAGAGGTTTAATGGACCAGGCATCAACTCGCCTCAAAGGCACATAGATTTGGCAATCATCAGCATAGCAGTGAAAGGAGATGCCATGTTTTCTAAAAATCGATCCTAGAGGAAGTAGATGTAAAGAAAAATCAAAGGCCTTAAAATTGATCCCTGAGGTACCCCGCATGACAGAGGAGCAGAAAAGGATTCACACCCAGCAATTTTTACAGAAAATGTTCTGTCTGCCAGATAAGACCCCAACCACTCCAGAGCAGTCCCATCAATGCCTACTTGGTGCTGTAGACATGACAGTAAAATTAATTAAAAAATAATAATAATAAATTATCCAATTATCATGCTCACGAAATGCACAAATAGACAGAGGGTATTTCCAATTCCCTCTCCTTGCTCTGTGACAAAAAGATGATTGTACAGAGTGTGTAGATTTTACCTAAATAGTGTTCATCTACGACGATGACTTCACAGAGTCCAGAGTAGGAGGAGTCCAAAGGAAGGATACCTGAAGGAGGGAGGTGTCATGCTTAAAGGGTTCAGGCAAATCAGACGCAAATATACAACAAAACATCCCAAAATCACACAACACAAGGAACAATTTGTTTCATTGACTTTTTTGTTCAGGTTGGCAGAGTCTGACCTCAGTGTGAAAGATTTGAGTTTAATTGTTCAGAGAACTGATGACATCAAGTTTTAGGTATTGTGTGAACACAGAGTTAGTATTCACATTGTTGGTTTGCAATCAAACTACTGCATACTTTGTGATATTTTAATCATTTTAATCAAAATGTTTGGCTCAGTTACTATGACTTTTAGTGTTTGTAAATTTGCACTTTTTTTACCTATTTAATTTCCATTTTCCCCTTATAAATACATTGAGATCTCTTTGTCCTTAAAAATATTATTTTTAAATTAACTTCAGTAAATACAGCAGTTTTTCTTATGCTCCATTTAGCCTATGTTTCAAATTTGAGATTTTAGCCACAGTTTTGCTATAATTATCTTTTAGCAACAGTTTAGCTACATTTACCTTTAGGCACAATTTATCTGATTTTACAGTTTTAGTACATATAGCTTTAAGCTACTTTTAGCTTTTAGAAGAGAAGTAGTGTTCACAGACAATCTGAATCTTTAAAATGAATGACGAGAGCTGAGATGCCAACTGTATGGAGTAATTTTTTTCTTCCCTTCTCAGATCCAGACACACAAACATGCACCTCCTTTGCTTTCCACTGAGATGAAGAAGAGGAGGCTGAGAAGAGGAGCAAAGTTGTCGTAAATGGCGAAAATGCGCTCAGGAACTGAAGACTCACATGGGATGATAGTACGGTGTACATCAAATGGCTGGCTTCCTACGCAAAGCCAACATCACGGTGTATGACCATTTTTGGTGAGGTCAGCTATACCACACCACACTGACCGTACGGCGCCACTGACCGTACCGCGCCACTGACCGTACCTCGCCACACTGACCGTACCGCGCCACACTGACCGTACGGCGCCACTGACCGTACCGCGCCACACTGACCGTACCGCGCCACACTGACCGTACCGCGCCACACTGACCGTACCGCGCCACTGACCGTACCGCGCCACTGACCGTACCGCGCCACTGACCGTACC